TTCATCAATTTTGTTTTGTGACAGGGAGCATTATCCTGCAAAAAAATGAGCTTGGTGGGGTCGATTTGTACCCTTTCAGAAGAAGGGAGCAGACAAGACTCTAAAATTCTCTTGTACTGCTCGCTCCTGAGGGTCTTTTCAATAGGTTTTAAGAAACCAGTTCCATGAAAAGAAAAGTATCCCCAGAAAATTATACTGAACGGATGCTTGACAGTACTTAGAGCTAAATTCAAAGAGCTTTCAAAGCTTCTTTCTTCGGATTTTAGATCGCTTATCCTTTGAATTTAGCTCAACTTTCTTTTCATCGGAGAAGAGAACATTTAGTAAAAAAAATCGGGTGAGTCACTTTTATCGAACAGTACTGTACTTCTTCAAGTGATGGTAAGTAACTGGTGATTAAATGATTTGTAAGAAATTTTGAAGGGAGACATAAGGTCAGAATTAAAAATAGACTTCTGGATATGTCTTGATTAACCAATTAAATGTCAGATCTACGCTAATCTTTTTAAGAGTTTCAATTTTCATATTCTGGTGTTAAAACGATCATTTTGCAATGTTATTTAGTACATTTCAGATGTCATTATTTCACCGACCAATTTGAAAATCTGGTATTTTAACATCACATTACCATGTTGGGGTTATTGTGTGAGCGTTACCAGAAACACCGGAGCCACAAATTTTTGGCTGATGTTACTCGAAGTGATAATAACTCTACTGAGTTTTGTGTGTGATATCTTTCGTCCAACTGCTGTTTTACAGCCTTTTACCACCGCGACAGATAACGTTGATATAATTCAAACTGGAACATGCGCCCGTGAATAGAAATGTTTCGATTTTTTTTTGATTTTTTTTTTTTGCCGAAAACAAAATTACACGAAATTACACATCTTTAATACTCATTTGTGCAATTCACAATTTCATTCAATTCAATTGTTTTGGTTCTGTCTTTATTTTAAAGAGTGCATTGTGCTTGTAACCATTGTCCTTACATGATTGTTATTACGGGGGACGATGGTGAAGATTCTACGGCGATGTGCTTACTTTCATAATATTCATAGCGCGTGCGCTTTTCGTTTCAAATTAAGCGCAAATGAAATCATACATTTCATTTGTGGGCATCTCGATTCCATGGTGTGCGAATGATATAACAAAGAACACGGAAGAATCCCAAACTATTAAATAATTTCAACCTAACATAAATTAAGTTACCTTGGGTGTAATTTACCTTGATGTAATGGTTACAAAGCTGGTCTTGCGAGAACAATTACGACTGCGCAGCGACTTCGATCCTCACTGGGTGCTCCATGCTTTCGGCCTTGTACTACACCTAAGTTTCGTTTAGAAAATCACTCTTTGGGCACTTCGACGTGGTCTAATAGTTAGAAAGCTTGTCTCACGAGAACAATTGTGAGTGAGTAGTGAGTTGGATGCTCCATATTTCGGCCTTGTGCCACATCTAAGCTACGCTTAGTAAATCACAATGAATTAATTTCCCGTTTTCTTGCTATATTTTCCTTCTTCTTTGCTTCACCTTTTTTTTCTGTTACCAGTAGAATTTTTAGAGTTCTTTAACATTACTAAGTCGGTAAATTATTTATTTATGGATTCGTTATTTTTACAGTTTATCAACCCTTTAAGTCTTTTTTCAGTCGAAACATATTATTTAGATTGTAATATATTTTTTATTTACATTGACTATGGTGTCAAAATATTTTAAGAATTTTGAATTTGGTTGATTTCTAGAATTTAATCCATTGCCTGGGGCAATAATAAATTGATTCATATCTTTCCGAAGGTTATTTACGCTTATGTGAATGCAACAAACTCGACTGGAATTCGAACTGGGCTCTCCGATTTCTACTATATCGGTAAAAATATCTGTGGAATTTTATATATCATTTTTGGCTTGTTATAGCTAAATGTAGTACAATAATAATGTACAGAAACTGGTCAAAGTTTGTCTTAGGACCAAACAAAAGACAACAAGCAAGAACAGAAAAGAATTGTGCACCAAGCATTTTTTTTCTCTAGAAACGTTTATTCAAGTTTACTCCTTCGGTAATTTTGATATTTTCAATTTTTAGACTGTTTTGTATTTTTAAAATTTTAATAAAACCCTTGGAAATCTTAACCCTCCGGTGGTATACTAAGGGCTAGAGAATTAGTGGGAAGACTGTGATCCATTTTACCTGACAAGCTTGAGTGAATGGATAAAAGATTAAGGATTAAGAGCTACAAGGGTTAGGAAATTGTGGATAGTCATGATCGTCCTTTTTTTTAAAAAAATCAATTCACCTGAAATGTGACCATAATGTCATTAAGACGCAAGGGTCTACTGGAAATGAAAGAGAATAAAAATACTTTAGAAGCAACCGGAAACCCAGTCCTAAACTTAATCCTGAAGTCACCTGAAAGCTTCAACAATCTTATAATTAGAGCTGTTTTGAAATGTTATCTTTTAGGGGCTTTTGGACTGTCCACTTATTTTCAGTTTCTTTAA